TAACAATACATAGTGGAAGTGACAAGATACAATAATCCCGCAGTACTATTCATATAGACGAGTGTAAAGACCAAATGAATATCGCCCTAGTGAGAACCTCTTATAGCTTCTGAGTTTGTCTATTGATCTGGTACCTAAAGGTATGGATTACAGTTACAATCACTACCAGGCCAACCATCCTGTGCTATTTAATTGGCTTGGCTAACGGATGCTGCAACTACGCTCCCTTCTGTCTATTTAAAACGTGTCAACGAATCTCAGTTGACTTTGTTATTCCCCTTTGTTCAATATTCTAAATATAGATTTGGTCTTCTAACAACGAAATGTGTGTCTAATCGCTCTGACATTTCTGTTAATAAAGAACTTCCCGTGCAATCATAATTTTATGTACATTTTATGCTCTATTGGATTTTATATACTACTAGCCGGATATGACCAGCGGCTTGCCGGCCTAAGTCTGGGTTTTACTGATCTACTGGATTGGATCTAGACCTATGTCAAACATGAATAATTGTATTTCATATTTGCCACAACAGCGAACGTTTCATATCATTTATAAAAGACTAAGAAAACAGGTTTACCCAATTTGTTAAAAAGTTTCATTCTTTAATAGAGATACAATTATGTACTTTTTGTCTATTTTTTGGGGCCCTCCGGTTGTGGGAGGAATATAAGTATACACACATACATAAGTATACATACATACATACATAAGTATACATACATACATAAGTATACATACATACATACATAAGTATACATACCTACATACATAAGTATACATACATACATTAGTATAATACACATATACTTAAGTATACATAGATACATACATAAGTATACATACACACATACTAAAGTATACATACATACATACTTAAGTATACATACATACATACATAAGTATACATACATACATACATATATACATACTTACTTACTTACATACATACATACTTACATACATACATACATACATAGATACACACATGCATACATACATACATACATACATACAGACATACGTACATAAATACATACATACATACATACATACATAGGCCTTACTTTCTGCTTTGTATTATAGATAACTAAACTTATATATAAAATATCGTCTAGTCACAGAAATTAGAGACATTTCTTAAAAAATGCATAGTATTATATCCCACTTGCAGTGACGTACCAAGGTACCCATGAACGTTAGGCCTCATCCGGTAAGTTGAAATGAATCCAACTTGAGTCATACTGTATCCAATGTGAGAATATATGCCCAAGAAAACAGCGCATAGGACATAAAATAGACGAAGTTCACATGTTCCCCATGGGGTAATCCCAAACTTGGCGTCATTTGAAAAGTCAATTTCGTTAGTAGAACATGTAACTTAGTAGGACTCCGAATCCCACGCTGAATGTGTTTTGTTCGTCACCAGTATAGGAACGGGTAGATATTGTCCTAATTGGTTCAGGACAACATAAGCAAAGTTATGCCGATTTCCCACAGCGCAATTATCATGACTGAATATTTTACATAATCTTATCACCTTCAAATATCCTCTACAGAGAACACCAGAAGAGTTGTAAATCATCTTTCTCCATTGATCTCTGTCTTTTGCCATGGATGCCTCTCTCAATGGCAGTCCCGTCTATTTCTCTGTATGGCTCTTTTTCCTGGTACTGTTCTCTGAAGGAAAGTCCTTGCATGCCCTAAAGACCTTGTAATATGAGCATAAACTTATAGGAGACCAAGCAAACAAGAAACTGTTTAAAAAAAAAAACTACGAAGAGACCATGAGCAGTGGCGTGTTTCCCATGGCGAAACACATATGAAAAAATGGTGAAGCTGATAAGAGACACGCTTTTGAAACACATTAAATTCGTTATTCATTTACTCACTAGAAAGTCACTTGATATCTCGAATTCACTTACTAAGGACTAATTTTTTACATACTTTGAATGAATGATTGGAAGAGCCATCGTCACATAGTAGGTGATATTTTTGGTGTGCTACATTGCAGATTTATAAATCAACGGTTCATGTACATAGATACAATAGTTTTTACTTAGGTGGGTAGAAACTATCAATGTTCATGCGTACTACTTTAAAGCAGATTGCCTACGTACGGAGAACCTATGTATAAAACATCAAATGTGAATAACCTGTTGTCTTGTAATATTAATTCGTGTATCTTAAGCAGTAAATATATACTTTAATATTTAAGAAAACATTAGTGATTTAACGAAAACAAACTTCTAATAGAGCATTTTCCCATTGTTTACAAATTTGTCACTACTATTGTTAATATTATTATAATAAAAAAACACTCTAATACTTAAGAAATTAAAGAAACGCTGTACTGACAATTTTACGGTTACCTTCCGGTAATAGCTTACTTACAACAGTCACCAGATTTACATCAATTTGGCATTTCGCTTTTTCGATACATTTACCATTAATAGAATTCAATAACAATAATTATACAATAGCTTCAGTAAAATAATTGAACATTTAAATTCATAATTCATACTTTTTTTTTCTTTTACAAGAGCCCGTTAGTGATCATATGGTCTTGGGCCCGGGCGCAATTAACCCCTTCGCTGCATGGCTCCTACGTCACTGCCCACTTGATAACCTAATCGTTGATGATAATTGAAGACTCACTCATTGATTCTAATGGCTGATTCAGGCAAACGGCATGTTGGGTATGTAAGGTAAATAGACATTTATCCCAGCAGGTGAAATAAGATTTTAAAATTATAGACACAGAAATAGAACACAAACGTGTAACTTGTAGATCTAGATTTCTTTTTTGTACTAAGAGTACATCAACTCACTCTGTCTGTCTGGTACAAAGCTTATATCAACTCACTCTGTCTGTCTCGTACAAAGCTTATATCAACTCACTCTGTCTGTCTGGTACAAAGCTTATATCAACTCACTCTGTCTGTCTGGTACAAAGCTTATATCAACTCACTCTGTCTGTCTGGTACAAAGCTTATATCAACTCACTCTGTCTGTCTGGTACAAAGCTTATATCAACTCACTCTGTCTGTCTGGTACAAAGCTTATATCAACTCACTCTGTCTGTCTGGTACAAAGCTTATATCAACTCACTCTGTCTGTCTGGTACAAAGCTTATATCAACTCACTCTGTCTGTCTGGTACAAAGCTTATATCAACTCACTCTGTCTGTCTGGTACAAAGCTTATATCAACTCACTCTGTCTGTCTGGTACAAAGCTTATATCAACTCACTCTGTCTGTCTGGTACAAAGCTTATATCAACTCACTCTGTCTGTCTGGTACAAAGCTTATATCAACTCACTCTGTCTGTCTGGTACAAAGCTTATATCAACTCACTCTGTCTGTCTGGTACAAAGCTTATATCAACTCACTCTGTCTGTCTGTCGGCAGGATTCTTTTAAACGTTTTTTCTCCCATTCCCCATTCTCGGATTAAGTTGAAACTTCACACAATTATTCATAGCCGAATATGCCCGAATACAATACATGAATCAAACGAAACTCTCTTTGTAACCTTGTTTTTAATGCTATTCACAATGTATGTTCCTAATCAGTGCAGTGGTGTTGCTTCAACTGTCCTCCAGTTATCACATACACCCCATAGTCGTGCTCCCTTCAGATGCGCCATTGAATAATTGGACTTGGGGGGTCGTTAATACTGGGCTAAAAATAGCAATTAAATGGAGACAGGATGGATATTGATGGGGGATTAGAGGCTAAGAGGTGACGGTCACCTAGATGTGGGTCAGAGGTCGAAAGGTTAACGAGTAGAGCTAGGATTTTCTTTTAACTCGAATAATCGCAAAATCTGAATTATTAATGAGTTATTGTTATTGCCTATAGATCTAATTGAGCGAACATGATTTAGTAACAAGGCTTACTGTGGTTTAACAATGATTTTTAGTTCAATCTAGCATGACTGGAATTTGAAAAAAAAAAAACATTTTTTTTTGGCTCAAGTCCACTCATGTGTCATGACAACCTTTTTAGCACCCGTGAATTTATTTCAGCTGAACTTGTTATTCCCCTTTGTTCAATATTCTAAACTCTAAAGTAAACGCACAATAAGTAAATATACTTGGGTCCTTTTTTTTTAAATACAGCTCTGGAACACCTCGCCACTGATCATAGATTACATATCTGTCTTTTTACAAAGCTTATATCAACTCACTCTGTCTGGTTGTCTGGTAAAATGTTGGTACACATCAGGGCTACTGTGCTAAATTGTAATAAAAGTATTACTAAGTATTGTTCAGAAAAAAGTTAGTCAAGTTAATTGAAGCTTGTAAATTAAGATATAATACGCTACAGCGGTTTATATGTCTACCACAAGTCTGACACAGGTCTACCACAAGTCTACCACAGGTCTACCACAGTTCTATCACAGGTCTACCACAGGTCTACCACAAGTTTACCATAAGTCTACCGCAATTCTACAAGTCAACGACCGTCTACAACAGAGGGGTGGGAGATTACACCTATACTGGATCCAACAGGGCATTGTTGTATATTTTTAAGTTTAGGATGTTCCTTTAGATGTTCCTTCACATGATCCCTCAGTTGTTCCATATGATGTTCCTTCTGATGCTCGGATGTTCCTTCAGATGTTCATTCATATGTTCCTTCACATCTTCAGATGTTCCTTCAGATGTTCCTTGAAGTGTTCCTTCTTATGTTCCTTCATATGCTCCTTCAGATATTCAGATGTTCCTTCTGATGTTCAGATGTTCCTTCATTTGCTCTTTCAGATCTTCAGATGTTCCTTCAGATGTTCCTTCAGATGTTCCTTTATATCTTCAGATGTTCCTTCAAGCTCCTGAAGGAGGACCTCGGATGGAAAACATGCAGGGTTTGAACTCGGAACCATCATGATGGCATCCCGACGCTACTACTACAAGACATTCAGCCACAAATGGGATTATATTAAACTGTGACAAAGAATGGACCAGGTAAAAAAAGCAAAAAAAAAACCCCTTGATGATTTAGATTGTCAGTCAACACAGCTCACTACACGTGGGTAGGTTTTAAGTGTTGCATTTATTGTACACAACAAAAAATCAATTAGATTTTAAACTTTTTTGAAACAAAAATGACACTACAAAATTATTTTCTTTTGGTCATGATAAAAAAAAAAAATTTTAAAAATGATTAATTACATTGGAATAACGACTGTCTCGACTATAACAGAATCGTTATAGATATGTATGCATTGTTATAGCAACTGTCTCGACTATAACAAAATCGTTATAGATACATATGCATTGTTACGTTAGACAGTGTTCAATAGTTATGCATTTCAGAATATTCTTACATATGAAATAATATTTAAATTCTGATATGCAAATTTAACAAAGTTATTATTAAAATATCTAATGAAAATCAAATTTTATCATCTAAATAATAATTGTTAATTTCAATAATAGGAACAGTAACTAGTACAGTTGGAGAACTATGGCCCTATATCTTAATGTAGTTTATTCTGAAAAAAAGAAACAACAACGTTTTATAGGCTCAAGGGTAATCGTAACACAAGGGAGATAATTCTTCGAGAAAAGAAATGTTAACAGAAAAATTGTTATCGTCCTTGCATATCTTATTATTGCAATAAAAAGGTTATGTGAATTCAATGTTTGTTATAATTCTAGAAGGGTAAATTAACTATTAATTATGTTGGTCAATATTTGAATGACCCTCGTTTTCTACTTCGTCTGTTGATTGCAAGACCACAATACATGTGGACCAACGACATGACGTTGGTATGAAGCATCATCTTGCCATTTCTGCAAAGCTATTTTAAATTGATAACAAATGAGTATATAGGTGAAATAAACTCCTCTAGAATGATGGATACACTCTACAACGGGAGCCAATATACAGTTTCTCTGTGATATTTTCTGGCTCTGCCTCCCATCGAACGTTTATGGCACCAACATACACAAGGTAAAAAGAATTTACAGCTTGTATCTTTTTTTTTATAATAAAACTTTTTTTTATACAAGTAAAGGGGACAAGTTAATGATAAAATAACTCAAAATCAATTGTCTGAAACCAATATATACTAATATATATCACTTTTTTGAGCATATCTTTCTGTACATAATATAGTGTGTGCATGAATCTGTGAAAAATTAGGCTTGACCATAGACAGATACACAGCTCAGTCTACGTTAGGGAATCTTAAGATTGTTTCTATGATTGATAGTCCTTGAAAGTTATAAGGATTTGTTACACTATATGATTTACCCTGTAGTGGCTAAAAAGTGTTTGTATAGACAGTCTTGCCGTATTGATTGGCATTGAAAGAAAACCTACATCAGTGGCATTTATGTTTCACTTGAGATTGTCATTTCAACAGTCCTCAATTTCACTTTTTGTAAAGCAGCGTCATTTGAAAAAGTGCCAAGTGTAGCTTGAACGTGTGTACTGATTTTGAGTTATGTCATTAACATATGTCATATAGATGTCATTAGAACAAATGCTATGTGTTATTATAAGGCATGTTATAAATCATTAGAAAACGTGTCATATGTCATTTGAACACATGTCATGTGTCATATATCTTTATCTCATTTGTCATTAGAATGTGGGAATATGTCGTTAATATGTCAGATGTCATTAGAAAATAGTGTCATGTTGATCGATTGCTCCTGATTGGGCCAAGCACCTGGCAGGGGCCACTCGCTTTACATTTAGCATATCACTATCAGCCATGGCTCAAGGCTTTTAAAGATGTGGGACTTAAAGGGTTAACATATTTAGTGTATAGTACGATTGACGTAGCTTTAATTACCTTTAAAACTGGCACCTATTGCATTTGAGTTGCTTCCTAACCATGTTGTATAATAAATGTTGATATCATAATCTAATAGTAATGATTTATCATTGTAAGCAAACATTTAGAAGAGGGGCCTCGCAAGCACTTATTGGGACCCGCAATTTGTAACCCCTGTTAGCAGGTGTCATATGACACGTGATATACGCCTGACATGTGCTATTCGAACAAGTTTTCTGCTAAGAAATAAAAAAGTGACTATCTTTCATATCGCTGTGGTGAGGTATCTATCAAGAAGAATGTGGAAATTGGTTTCGTCTGTTTCAACTATTTTAGTTTGGATAGCATCTTATTTGAACGATCTTGTTTACTTGGTTATGGAACTCAAATGGGACATACACAAAATGAATACAGACGAATAAACCATACACAAATATAGCCTTTTTATCAATACATCATACATATAATAACATTGATATATATTTTCTCATTAATTATATTTGATTGTATATTAAATCACTTTTTAAGACCAAAGAGGAGCTTATAAAACTTGATCCTATGTCTCCGCCCACTAAGGTTCAGTAGGTGCTCAACCCACAATTAACCTCGCCAATCAAAAGCTCTACCCATAATTAGCTCTACCTTAACCATAACAAGTTTGACCATTTATTTTTTACCCTTATAACCCACCTTCACTACTAACAGCCTATGCTCCGGCCACAAATTACTCCGCCTACAAATTACACTGCCTACAAATTACTCCGCCCACAAATTACTCCGCCTACAAATTACTCCGCCCACAAATTACTCCGCCCAAAAATTACTCCTCCTACAAATATCAAAGACATGCAAGTGAAAAGGCCCTTTTTTAACCCTCTTACAACCTCCCTAACCCTAACCCTTAACTCCACCCTATACGTAGAAAAATGATTCGTTAATGAACTGTCTGGTCCTGACGGTGGCGCTGGCCAGCTCGTCAGTCGGGGTCATCCCTGGAGACACGTGGTGCAGGAACTTGCACTTGAGCTTCAGGTCCTTCATGAACTGCTCGCGCTTCTCTTCCAGAACCATGGAGGCGTGTCTGGGGAGACCCAGCTCCATCACCTCATCTCGGTTGGTCGCAACCTGACAAGCAGATTGATCATAATTAAAATCTAATTATATCATCAATAAATGTATTCTTATCTTATCTTATATAATACAGACGTTACTTCATGCATTTTGTCGTGCATGTTAACCAATGACCTAAATTCTTAAAAAAAGAAGACGATTACGTCCTACGCGTCATGCATTTAGTCATGCATATTAACCAATGACTTAAATTCTGCCAAGTCACTGGTTTTCCTGGCTAGCTCAGGCAACCCATCCCATGCTCTAATAGCACTAGGGAAGAAGGAGTATTTGTACAAATTTGTCCTAGCATAGGGGACGAGGAATGTTCTTTTTCCTTTTCTTTTCATCAACCAGATATCCAATTAGGACTCAGCGGGCCAGAAGTTCCAAACAATCAATATATAATTGACTTTTAAAGGCAATAGAGACCTACACGTGTACATACGATACAAATGTTTCACACAACCAAATGTTTTCATTGCTTTCTCCGGGTCCGAATATTAAGGAGGCGTGCAGTTTTTTATATGACTACGCAGACCCATTTGCAATCCAGAGGCGTAGTGAGGGGGGGGGCAACGGGGCACGATAACCCTGACGCCACCCTCGGGGGGGGGGGAGGCGCCATACGCAGCCTATATTTGTACTTGACGTTCATTGAAAATGGGAGGAGGGTGCAAATAAAGCGCTAGGCCATTACGCACACATGTTTTTGATGTTCATAACGGGGGGGGGGGGGGGAGCTGGCATGGGTATGAACCCGTAACCATCGAGAAGACCGAACCAAAGTCCAGCGCGCATACCGCACGACCAGGTTGGCATTTCGCCACATCCAACGCAGCTAATTGGACTTGGTCACAGCAAGTGAGTCTGAAATCTGATAGAAAGTATTTTAAGCTATTCAACTTAGGTGATCCATACGCTGATTGATATTAAACATAAATGGTGAATGCAAAACTTCCGGGAAGATCTCGGAGTTGTAGTTCAAGCTTCATTGAAAACATTCCTAACTCAAACAGACGATGTAGTAAACTTACTTGGAAGGTCAAGTTCGAGGTCATGGGAAGTTCAATCATCATGGCGTGGTTGGGGTACAGCATGCAGGCAATCAGCGACTCTTCCTCGAAGGTGTCCACCAAGGTGAACATCAAGGACGTGGGGGATAGGCGTGGGGCGTGCTGCCCATAGACGAAACGCACTAAAGAAGGGTAGCGATTGGCCGCAATCAGCTGATGAGGCAGAACCGAGAGCTTGTTGTCTCCGTTGGGTGGAATTTGGATCTCGACAAACTCGCCAGACTACAGGAAGAGAGAATGACAATATGTAGCAGACGACACAGTTTTTTTTTACTAATTAAAAACAAAAATATATTAGATTTTAAGATATAACAAAAAGTTGTTTTTTAACGTCCTAGTCAAGAGCTAGATTGGAGTTGGCAACATAAACCTGCCAACAATGATCATTTATAAGCAAAAAAATACATTCTCACAAAAATCTACCAATTATGATCATTTGTTAAACGAAAAATACATTATTTTCGGGTAACTGACACTAGATGTGGAGAGGACTATGCTACACGCAGAGACCATCTGTGACTAGGATTTTCAAAATATTAATTAAAGAAATGCCCTTTTAACGAAGTAGATCGAACCAGATTCTGACCAGAGGGCGGTATATTGGAAGGAAAGTCCTGGAACTGAAAAGAGAATGGATATATATATATACTAAAGGTCCAAAATCAGTGTAGAAAAAAAAATTAACTTAGTTGTTTGCAAAAGATGATAAAAAAGGCAAAGCCTAAATATTTAAATAACGCACACCATAAAAATAACCTAACTTGCATGCTTGATATTCAGTAATATTACATATGTATACACTGTCCTACTCGGTCAGCATCTACTTTTGAATCTTGTTATCTTAGTGGTTGTTCTGTGGAAGAAAGGTGTATTTCTGCGTTCAACAATTCGTTGAGATTTACTGACCTGGTCTGTAGGAATCAGTAGGTCACGCCCAGACTCATCAGTACATTGCAGCAGCAAGATCTCGTGAAGTCTTCTCTTGCTCTTGGCGAAACCTTTGGTCACACCACGGACAACGAAAACGCAGCCAGGTTTGTGGACAATCTCCTGGAAAGAGAAAACCAGTCTGATGAAGATCATGGTTTATTTTTACAAAGTTTATATCAACTCTGTCTGTCTGTCTGTCTGGTAAAAAGTTTGAACGCGTTATTTCTCCTACACCAATTCTCTTATCAAGTTGAAAAACTTTCCACTATTATTTATTGTAACTGAAAAAACATCGAACCAATAAATGAAAATCAATAAATTAGTCCATTAATTATTGGTAATTAATAATTTTGTTTGATATCAAAAAGGGGAAATAACTTATATTATAGATATAGTTGTAAGTGCGGAGTTAATCCCCTTAGATCAGCTTTTTTAAAAAAAGAATTGTTTAAATATTTTGCTTGTTTATGATTTATAATGGACTGATAGTCTGACTCAACATAGCGTTTCCATAATGAAGCAGAGAGCAAGCGCGAGATTTACACATAGATTATGGCTCTTATTTACTCGAGGACCCAAAAAGCATTGTTCGAGTGAGTTAATTATGAATCATAATGAGTCTTAGTAAAAGCTTTCTTCTCTCATTATCTAAATACTTCTAAATAGCATATCAGTTAAACTCTTTTCGTACGTGTAAATCCTAGATGGTACTGACATATAATATCTGGACATATAAAGGGCTCCATACTTCAAATCAGGGCGGATAACCTTCACCCATTAAGATCTGAACAAAGTGGTCGTCTCCTTTCCATTAGGACTAAAACAGAAAGATTTTAAAACTCCTTTATCCCACTTTCGGTCAGAGTGTTACAAGATCAGCTGTCGTCATCGAGAAGTACATAGAAGTTTTATTTATAAAGCGCTGGTTGTGAGTGTGTATGTGTTTCGTGTGTGAATGTTGTTCGTATTTGCATCTATAATGTTATTGTTCAGTAGTTTCGCTGAGGTTGTCAATTGTAGTCAAACTGAATTTCCATTTGATTGGATCCATAAAAATGATATTGTCTTATCTTATCTTATTAGGTATGTGGTGGCCCGGAGCAGAACTTTTATGGACACTTTTTACACTTTTTCTAAAGGTTTAATAAAAATCCACTTTTAAAAAAAAAAAATACTATCTAAAAGCATGCCATATTTAAAAAAAATTACTTGTAAATCAAATGTAATGTTTCTTCGTTTAAAAAAAAATATACAATTATTAAATATGCATATTTTAGTTGAAATAATGTAATTTTATTTTAGGGTTTACCCAATGTATTTCCTTTAACCGAAGTATAATTACGAGAATACGAGCTCACTATAAGCGGACACTTTTGAACGACAGCGTTGCCTACTGTAAGATTGCAAGTATTGTTGGTAAAATTAAAATGCAAAATTTAAATACTTTAAAAAAAAATGGTTTTGACCCGTCGAAATACATATTTTGTTCTGCTTTGTCGAGGTCCCTCTCTTCTGGAGGTCCCTGGGTGTGACCCCGCTAGCCCTCCCCTAAATCGAGCCCTGCCTAAAATAGATAAGGTCCTTCTTAAGACTAAATACGGTCCTGTTTTATCTGTATAAAAAAATAATCAATAATGCGATTGATTAGATTGATCTTACTCATACATAAACATAATGAAACACATCGATTTTGACATCCACAGACCCTCTTTGTGACCTCAAACTTAATGAATGATTTAGATCAATACAACGATAGTTTAGATCAGCGTTTCCAAGACAATTGAATGAGAAAGCTTTTGTGTGTGCCACGTCACGAAGAAAAAAAAATGGAAATAATAAAAAGACGAAATGTCTTTGTGAATGCAACGCTACAGTGTCAGGAAATGCTCACAATTTACCATATACCTTTTAAGTTTGAACACAACTTTCCAAAACGCAAGATATTTATGCTTTATTTTATTTTATTTTTATGAATATCTTTAATTAGAAATGATAATAAGTTAGAGAATGGTTGTTCAAAGGGGGGGAAAAACGTAGTGGTGTAGGAACTAGTAAAGATCCAAACCTTGTCTGAAAGGACTTGAGGTCCAGACTTGACGCTGATCTGGCTCCCCGTGCTGTCCAAGTTGCTACTGCTGCTGGGGTTCTTGGGTGGTGTGGGAAAGGAAACGATGGTGCTGAAGTTGACGAAGGCAGGGATGTCGCTGTGGGCTATGTGAAGAAGTGACCGGACTGTCGACTTGTCGTGTGTGGTCCGTGACGCCAGGCGTAGAAAGTGACCTGAGGAGAATAAGGGAACACATTTTTTTAGGCTGTGCTTAACGCGATTTGGTTCAGTTTCATTTCCGAACGTGTGTGTGTGTGGGGGGGGGGGTAGTTTCTGGGAGAATGTCTTTGTGCTGCCTTTAGGAAGATTCAAACTCAAGCCCTCTTTGATAGGTAGCCACTCAGCCAGTAATCCCACCAGCTACTCAAATCGATGCCATTTGTAATAGAAGGCCTCAACACTGACCTGCAACGTCGTAACATATGGGCAGTTTAGACCAATATCTCGTTGACACGTCACAGGTATGTACGACGTAGCAACTAGCTATTGGTCTCCACTGTTTACAGGTTTCGACGTCG